ATATATTTGTAGGGGGTAGGGGCAATATTCCAGTCCAGTAGGGCTCGGTTGGCTTGTAAAAGGACGAACCCACTGGAAACCTAAAGGTCTCTGCATATTTAGAACAAAATAACAAATTTGAGCAGGAATGAAGTAAAACTACAAAATACATTAAACATTTTTTCGCTGTACAATGATGGAAAAACGTTTTTCCAAATACACTAAATTATATGTTCAATTTCCCAAATTATATATTTATTAATAGTATTTTGCATGCGACAATACATCATTGCCGGTACATCTTTAATTGGTTTTTAAAGATTTAATCACAAGTAAATGCTGTGTACATACGGTGTATGTTTGGTTTGTGTGTCAATATGTGCACTTGTAAAATGTCAACTTTCTTTTTTTATGTTTTTACAAATATTAACGTCATTAACGTTAATTAATGTTTAATCAGTGAGGATTACCTAAATGTAAAACGATGTCGCAATTGTAAAATTTCTCATGATCAGCAATTTAGTTGATGACGATATTCAATTTCATAATACTAAAATTCAAATATGAAACAATACAATATTGACAATAATTATTAGACATTATTGTTTGAGAATGGTATACTTCTGCCATTAGCATCCACATCCTGCAAGAACACGAAAGTTAATACTTGCAGTGGTGGGCCTATCGGAAATTATGATTAGCAGACTGACAGTGCACTGACACTCAATACCTGCGAATGTTGACAAAACTTTCAACACATTTCAATTATAAGTATTTTATAAGTAAAATGCATGCCATTCTTATTATCCTAATCAATAGATATTATCAGTAGTATTATTATTAATATTATTATTATTATTATTATTATTATTATTATTATTATTAGACCTATATTATTATTAGGGCAGTTGTGTCTATTATTTATTAGTTATTCGGAGGTCGAGTCACTTGCGAGAAATTTTTTCAAGCATATGGAAACTTACTGAGAATTCAGTACTATAAGACATCAGGTGGGACAATGGATCGTATGTTTATTATTATTATTATTATTATTATTATTATTATTATTATTATTATTATTATTATTATTATCATTATTATTGTTATTATTATTATTATTATTATTATTATTATTATTATTATTATTATTATTATCCTAATTATTATAATTATAAAATTATTTTTTTAAATTTTTTATTATATTATTTTTATTATTATTAATATTATTATTATTATTATTATTAGTCTTATTCGTTTGCTGTGCGCCAATATCCTATACCAAACGAATCAGTAATATAACACTTCAGGCTACTTGGAAAAAGTCTCTCAATCCACATAAGTGTTAAGTTCATACATTATCTCTTAAGAAACTGTTAATTATGATTACTGCATTAATGGTGTGATAATTGAGAAGGTTAATGTTGAAAAAGACCTATGAATTTTGTTATTGATTCTAAGCTTAACCTTAACAAACATGTTGACCATATTTTATCTAAGGGCAATAGGACACTGGGCACTCTAGAGTGCTCGATAGTAACACTCGATGTTAGGCCAATCTTTGATTTTTTTATTTTTCGTCTGCGATTTATAATTCTATATGAATTTCTCAATCGCATAGAATGAGTTCAGTCCAACTTTATGTATTTTATTAATTATAACCACGTTGGTGCGCCTATTCATCTCTTACCACTTCACACTAGAAGGGGCATGTTCACTATGGTTTTTCTTTTTAAAATGTTTAATACTCGCGTTTACTTGTCCTCTTTTTCTTCTGAAAATCTATAGACCAAATTCACGAAACACTGATCTAATCTCTGTGACATGGCCGAGTCAATGCTACTAAAAACGCTTTTATTCATAGACTCCTATCACTATTATACAATTACACGTTACGATACCACAATTGATATATTTTTAATAGTATTTCTACGTTCAAAATCAAAGCTCATTTAATATAGGCCTTCTTTCAATTAAATTACTCGAGTTTTTGTTACCTTTATTATTTATTGTGTTCTTGTATTTTATTTATATATTGTATGTGTAAATGTAATGGACGATACCACTGTTGGAGATAGTTGAAATAAAATAATAATAAAAATGTTATTATTATTATTAGTTTTATTGGTTTGCTATTTGCCAGTGTCCTATACCAAACGAATCGGTTTATTTCAAATTAGGTGTATTAAAGAACCTTCAATACTCAGTTAACTAAATAGTTAAGTACGGGTAAGTATGCAAAGTAATAATAACTAGACCTTACAGTGTATACATATATCATTTTATCTTTCCACTACAGTATTAAGACTTATATTTCTCTGACCAGGCCTATTTTCCTGTTACCAGACAGTTGCTGGTTATATACTTTAAAAAAAACAACATTATAATACGGTACGATTAGATTCTATTTTAACACTGGAACATGGCAATATTGACCAGAAATTGTTGACATTTAAAAATGCATACATAGCAGATTGTAACAAATCTCTAATGTTTTATCTAAAACCCATAATCACGTTCAATAAATTGCCTAAAAGGCAGACACTTCGCCGCAGATGTGGACCCAAATCCCCTCCGAGACCGTGTCTAAATCTCGGATACACGTGGTCAATTAAACGGATCCTCACAACAAACGGAAGCTTTCGAGTACAGCTTTTGAAAGGTAAAGGAGGCGTGGTTTAAGGGGGAACGGCATTATAAAAGTAAGCAGTTCCAGTAGCATTTCATTCGGCCATTGAATTCTGCCGAGAACAGTGACTTTTTCATTAACTGTGGTAAGTTTTATCATTTTCGTAACACTTTGAATTATTATTATAAATAATGAATGTATACGAAATAAATAGTATATTTAAATAGACATATAGGTTTGCATATTAGGATTTGTAAGGTAAGAACATAGTTTCTCTGTTGTGTTGTTATTGGAATATGAATTTATTTAATTTAGATTTTGTTTTAAAATTACATTGAAAAGTTAAATATGTTACCTACATTAATACATAGCTATGCCTACTTACTAACATACATAAACAAACACACATGCATACACTGTAGTACATATCGATAACTACATACATACATACATATACCCACACATACACCCACACACACATATGCACACCCACCTGCTTACATACAAACATACATACACACACACACCCACACACACACACACCTACATACACTTACACGCACATAGGCGCATTATTATCTTAATAACTTTTATTTGCTTTTTCCATATACAAATATACATATAGGCCTAAAAATATTAAGGTATTTGGATAGGAAAATATATTTTTGGTCCGTCGTCCTTATAGTGGCATTGGACAATGGGGCCAGTGCCTGTCTGACGGGGTGGGGATTTCCCTTTTCACCCTCCTACAGACGCCGCAACTGATACACGCATCCACAACAATATCTATATAACTACTATTTATAAGTCAATCAAGGTACAGGTATGCATACTCAATATGTAATTATATTTATTACTGCTATTGTTTATTTATCTTTATATTTTTAGAGGCAATAGAAGCAAACATGCGTGCTGTTGTACTGCTTGGGTTGTTTGCGTTGGTGCAATTGGCTGCAGCCACTCATTACCGTGGCGGTACCTTCTACTGGGAACGACTAGGTAGAGAAAAGGTGAAACGAAATTAATTTATCTACCTATAAGCTTTAAAATTTGAACATTGTCTCTGCTATGTGTGAATCCTAAAGTTGTATGAAGGGAAAGAGACTAGAGGTCTTGGATTCGTAATGATATCGTACGGGCCGCTGTTGCTTATTCGGTATGACGCTCGCCGGGATAGTGAGAGATTGTGGGTTCCATTCGTTGATGAACTATGTTTGATAGGCCTACGATATATAAAATCATGTTCCTATATATTTCAGCACAGTATTATTATCTATTTGATCTATTATTATTATTATTATCTATTATGTCAATCGTTGACAAAGTCTACAGGAGTAGACGAAATATTCGTTACAATACATTTTAGTGTTTCTAAAGCCACCATTTTAATTTGTTTTTTTGTTTTTTTTTTTTTCACAGAAAACACGTCTACCGGATGTATTGCTTACAATTCGTATAAAACCTGTCTCTTATACACATCTCACCAGTCGCTTGAATACATCGTTAGAGTAACAATACTCTTTTTATATAGGAAGACCACTGGCCGTCAATTTACTCCTCCCCTGTGTATATTCGAATGGTATAAGATAAACAAGATATAAATAAATAACACCACCATACTATTTCTATTTAAGACAAATGCTTTTAACTTAAATATTTCCAGATTCGTGTATACTGGCGTTTGGCCTACCAACTAACATCCTCCTACCCTGAATACTACTGTTCCCACGTCGGTGAAAGACTCCAGGCTGAAACGGCGCTGATACTTGATTGTCCCACCTGTACCACTAATCAAACCATCTTGTCGCCATTGCAAATGGAATGTGTGTCCATTTCGAGAGAGATGGGATGGAGTATCCTGCAGGGGCATATTGATTACTATGCAGATCGTGAAATCTTTAGAATGAAGTAAGCCGTTAACATTTTTGTTAAAAAAAGAACTCTGTTATTGCATGTTATTCATTATTATTGCATAACATGCACATGCACAACATGTACTGTACTACTTTTGATAAGTCACGCGTATATTGTAAATAGTTGTTCCCTGATCGCGCATTAACAAAAAGCACAAAGGCCTGTATAACTTTATATATAACAAAGTTTTAGACGTGAGAATTTTATTGATTATCAAGACGTTAATAGTGCGAAAATTGATAAAATATGTAAGCAATGATGTGTCTTCACCTAATTTTTTAAATGTTATATGGAAGTTACATAAAATAAATGACAGGCCTATTGGACATAAAAATAAAGTACTGGAAACGTATAGTTAGGTCGGAAGGATTATTCCAGCATGTTTTATGTCGAGTCGATGGTACATAATTTAAACAAACACCAACAACCGGATTGATTAAGCAATTAGTGAGCCATCGTATTGTTCTACAATAATTCGCTCTGCAGTTTTCTTTTCCATGGCAATGGTTTGACATTTATTTTCAAAAATTTTTCTTATTAGCTATCACACAATAGGAAGCTGTACAGACAGCAGTTGGATCCAACTGCAAAATTATGACAGTGGAAAATGTTGGTCTCTGCTTACGCAAGTCGATACCTCAATGAACAACCACTCTCCACGTCTAACAACTGGTCTACCAGTGTACAGAGTCCGACAGGGATGCAGGCGATTGATTGACTTAATGCGTATGTTACTAACATTTAGCCTAACCATTGTTTATGTATCTTGGTAACAGTGGTGTAATTAGAGGGTGAAAAAAGGCTCTCTCGCTCTCCAGTAAATTACGCTCATGCAGTTAAAAACCACTTCAAACTGCCTTCTTTTGCCAGCCAGCGTCTCCTGCCACTTTATCATTGAGCCATCCCACTTCACAGTTTGTGGCCCACATCAGCACCCCCACCCCATTTCAGTACCCCTGATACACAACTGGTTGCTTCACACGCTGTCAGAGTGACTGGGACTTATGCATACACATCCATTAACATAAATATGAATTTAATACTTGAAGGATCTTACAATTAAAATATCACTCCAATTTTCTTTCTTTTATCTGATTTTATATGATAGACTTAGGCATACTGGTATAAGTGAAGAAAATCAACCTATATTCTCATCCTCTTCCACTGACATTTTTGTTATCAATATCCGAGTCCAATTACTTTGTATAATTAAGGAAGTTATCATCTCAATTTAAAATTACGATTAAACTATCTTTGCCGAAAGTTAAATGTAGAAAATCTGTAAGACAATTCCTGTGGTATTACATAGACTGTTTTTATGGAATTTTGTTTTGAAATCAGCAAAAATATGAATTGTTTTGATTTGTTTTTCATTGATCTTGATCCTTTCAAACAAGGAAATCATTTTTTTCATTAAATTTTTAGGTCGTTTAGATATGGGCACCAAGTTCACATACTTACATAGTCAAATTATTGCTTCTATTTTATGCAATTATTATATCTATCATTCTAGCAACTGATCCTGACGATGACGTCATTAGGTGCCGATGGGCAGCGGACTCAAAGGATGAATGTCCTCCAGCTAGAGATTACAACGACAAAAAACGAGTTTGCGGACAAGCAACCGATTTAACGATCCTGTACGGGGTAAGACTAGACTTATAAATGCTGGTGTACTTGAGTATATTCAAAGTTAGAGTGCTTGAACTAAGTTCACATTACATTTTGCAGCTCTGGTGTGAGAGACTTAATAAGGTTTCATCTGGCGTTCTTCCTTTTACCAGGCCAGGTACAGAGCCAAAGTAGAGTTTTTTGTTTTTTTGTTTTTTTTTTTTTCACAGAAAACACGTCTACCGGATGTATTGCTTACAATTCGTATAAAACCAATGAACGTCTTCTAAAATAAACTTAAACAATGGAGGAATTATAAACAAAGCATTTAAGTCCTTATTTACTAGGTTGTTTCGACCAATTAGCCCTTGCAGAGATGTACTTTATTCGTAGCCTTTGTTTGTAAGAAGCTAAATTGAGGTATCGTCTCTTATTTTAACAGGATAAATGTCTTATCCAATTCGACACCGATTTAAATAGTAGACTCGGGTGGTATGGTGCCTCCGTTATGGTAGAAGATTTCAAAAACAAGAAGAGTACCGAAGCTAAGAGTACGGTTCCATACCAGTTCCTCCTTGACGTCACCGAACGTAAGTTCTTGAGTGTTTGNNNNAAAAAAAAAAAAAAAAAAAAAAAAAAAAAAAACCACGTTAAGGGGAAAATAACACAAAAGTCCGTTTTAGTGCCAGTTATTATAATAACAAAAATCATCATCAATAGTGTTCTGCCGGAAGGCAGGTCCCACAAGAATTTCTATTCCAGTATTCTCGGTCCTCTGTATCCCTCTTCAACTAGTTGTAACAATAATAATAATAACAAAATAATAATAATAATAATAATAATAATAATAATAATAATATTAATAACAAAATAATAATAACAAAATAATAATAACAAAATAATAATAATAATAATAATAACAATAATAATAACGTCAATAACAATAATAACTATGACAATAAAATTGATAATAACAATAATTATAATTACGATTATAATTATATAACAGTATTTCTTCTAAACAAAAAACAAAAAAAAAACCTAATTCTCTTTATAACCACAAAGTGTTCAGGAAGTGCAGGGAAGTTGGCCCGAAGGCTTTACTTTCGAATACACCAAACCACCGCCAGCTGCTATTGTCGAAGCAGTCATCACCTTCCAGAGTAATAAAGTTGGTAAGAATGCCTTCAGTTTCACCGCCATCGATGACAACGGGTAAGTAGACACATTACTTATTTATAAAAAAATAAAATTACACTAAGAAAAAAGGGTTTAAATCCCGATGGCAAGTTCTTCTAAAAAATACATTATCCTATATTCCTCGCCAATTTGGAAGGGCTAGTGTTGTCCGAAAGCTCTGGTTCTATTTTGCTACATTTAAATTTCACACAATTTAGCTGTTGCTTATCAAATTCCGAGATACTTCCCACAGCATTGTTTTTTTTCCAGCATTTTTTCCAGTATTTTATAAATTCATAAATCATAATTTATCGATATTCTGACTTGGCAGTTAAAACTGAATCACATGGAATTTACATGACTTTAAATGCATTGTTCCAAAATATTATTAATATCTCTAATGTTTTTATAGTGTTATGAATGATCCTAAGGTTGGAAAGATTGTTGTTTCAATTGATAAACCAAAGGAGGAAGAAGTTCGTGGACCACCACAAGTTTTATCAATGGAATCTTACCCAGTACCAGGACAAGAAATTGACCTGGATACGCCAGCGGAATACTGGTACCTTACTTTTGACCAGAAGGTAACGGAACCATATCCACTGTCAATTATTAAAAATAATATTTTATTTAATGTTAAGACGTACATAATTTGATTGTTTAAGGTATCGAGATTTTTATAACACAGAGGCTATTAATAAAAGTAAAGCATTAGTACATTGTTTGACAGATCTCACGACCAACGAAGAAGAAAAATATCTACGTTACTAACATCCTAACCGGAGAGACAATTGCAAAATACGATGCTTCAAAGGAAAATCAAGTGATATTTGATTCTGAGAAAACCAAGCGTGTTAAGTACAGGCCACCACCACTTACAGCTGGCACCATGTTCGTTATCAATATTGATGAAGGATTTGGCGAGGTTTCTTTCAATGATGAATGTGGTAGAAGCGCTACCGAAGAAAGTGACCCCGGTGCTATTATTTTCCAAACAGGTAAATTAACATTTTTTCTTGAAGGTTTGCATGGCGACTACAATTAATATTGTATTCGGAAAGTACTGTTAGAAAAAATACTACTGTACTATTAACAATGGTTGAATAATTAATATATTATTTTATTGTAGCTAAGCCTAAAGTACCAGTTGTTGACTGCGGTGACAACGAGATCACATTCTACATTCCAAGGAAGTTTGTGAATGATATCTCACCAAAGAAACTCCATCTCCACGACCCGTCATGTGTAGCTCGCCCACTTAACGACACATTCATGATGGTTCGATTCGGCTATGACGAGTGTGAGACCAGAATCCTAGTAAGATCTTCTATAAACGATCTTTCAATTGAGCTGAACTAATTAGCTTTTTAATATTGGGAATAATTGTATAATTCGAAACACTGTTTATGGATGTAGTAGTACACACGGACAAGCCAAGTTCACTTTCTTCCTGATTCTTTTTGAATGTTTGTATATTTTTGGTTTTCAAATTGAATATTATGCAAACTAAATAAATGGTAATATTACTCTTTCTATAGAACCCTAAGAAAGGCTTGACCAGATTCCTTAACACCCTCCGTGATGATCCACAACCAATCGGAAAAGGTCAACCAGTGTCTCGACATAAGCGTCAATTTGAGATGAAGATCATCTGTGACATCAAGGGTATGGATACGGCCGATGTCTTCTACAACCCAGACACAACTGTGCAGACTACCAAACATGCCGGCCAGGGCAACTTCCGTACCTACCTGACCTTATTCGACGAGAACCTGCAGGAAGTGAAAGCTGGTTTATCACCAAGTGTCTTCCTCAACGACACCCTGACATTCGCTGCCAGACCAGTCAATAGCGGCATGGAGGTGGAGATTGATTCCTGCAAAGCCAGCCCTCTGGACAGAACATGTACCAAGTATGATTCCAAATACGAATTCATCACTAACGGGTAAGGAAAAATAAATACACATTGACACATACTGCAAGGTATTAAACAATATAAAAAATATTACTTAGCGAGACTTCATTTTAAGGGCCTCAAGGTTCTGGTATCGGAGCCCGATCAAGACTATCCAAACTTTATTTGGCAAAAAACTGTTGTATGCCCATATATAGTCATGATATGCCTATATTTTGAATGATATGATGTCATCATGGCACTGCTTAAGTTTATGCCATCAGTTTCTAGGAATTTTATGATGGTTTTTTTCTTATTTGTTTATATATCCTTTGCTGTTGTTTTTCTATCAACACCTCATATAAATCTCATTTATTATTACGGTTATAAACCTACACATAGGGCTGTTCTAATAAAGCTGATATTTAAAGATTATCCATAGATAATAAATGAGAACATTATATAGAGTGGCGTGTTAACAGGGGCACTCCAAGAGAGTAACAGCCCCACACCCATCGAGGATCTTGGACCCGTCGGCGGGAAATTTCGGGCGCCAACACAAATTACAAATGCTATAAAAAACATATTAAATCAATACATATTTAGGTATAACATGTTATTTCATATTTTACCAGATGCCCAGCCGATGATACTGTGGAATATGGTTATTCCGTTTCCTCCGAGAAGCGTTTCACCATATCTGCCTTTTCTTTCCTTCACTATGCTTCGAATGATCAAGTAAGTTTTACGTCATACCAATTTAAATGTTGAGCATTCATATATGAGACAGGATTAATAATTTCAGAAATCGTTCAAACATTAGATGTTTTCCTAATAATCAATTACAGTAAACCTATACTATTTCAATGAGTATCTTAGTATGTGGGAATATAATAATTTTTTAATACTGTATACTGTATTGTCAAAATGAGATGTTTTTGGTCTGTTGGAAGTAGTGAATCGCAGGTGAGTTTGTTTTTAACATACACATTAGAAATTATAAAAAGCCTAAGGTCGTAACTTTTTTTTACCTAGGTAATGGTTAAATGCAAGATGTTCGCGTGCAAGCAAGGGAAGTCCAACTCTGCCTGTGCAAAATTGAAAGCATCGAGGAACAACTGTGGCCGACGTGGAAGAAGAAGCGCCCAGAAGATTGAAGTAGATGCTGACGATGTCCAATTCGAAGCCTTCGTTCCTCTGCGATTCAGACACTAAATCAATGACAGCTTAACTATAAACATTACTATTCAGTTTGAAGACTCTTGCTTAATTATAAAACAAATTATATAATTTATCTGCAGACCCACCCCCGTTTAAAACACGAAAACGTGCGACAAAAAATAAATCTTTTATTATGAAAGTGTCAATGCTGAAGATCCAAGAGCTGTACTGTACTAATTTCGAGCTAAGGTATGCGTTTCCGAAAAAATTAAAATAGTTTGAATTCGCAATCAATCAAGTGCAATGTTTGTGATTTTGGTGAGAATAAAATTTAATTTGATTCAACAATAAACTGATTATAATGTGCAATGCTATTGTTATTTTTCGTTTTGTCGTAATGTAATTTGTTTTTCTAATTATCAAATCGTTTCATCCGGGTAATGAACATGTTGTGTTCCTGATACAATGCACCTTTCCGTTTAAGCCCCGCCCCTTGGATATTGTTGCTAAGGTCCCACAAATCGATTGTAAAAACATACGCAGACAAATGCTTTTGCAGGACAACACGTGTTTGTGAGACGTTCGCGTATTTCTGACGCTGTTCTGATTGGTCATTTGTTAAGTAGGAAACAAAGGTCTATTGCACATGATTGGCAACATAGGAGATACTTCACTTTACATTTAAAAACAAACAAAACAAAAAAAACTTACAAATATATAACAATGCAACATAAAAAAATATGTATCTTCTCATCAATCGTAATAATTCAATAAAACCTCTACACTGTACTGTATATACAATAATTTTTTATTAATAACATTTTGAGTTATGCGGCGTGACATGAGGGTAAAACTGTCAATACATGCACAATACTTTCTTTGTACAATTCACTTTTAAATGGCAGGGAAAAAACACTTACTGTTTCAAAGTACCCTATTACGACCTTATGAGATGAAATATTGTTTTATAATGTTGAAAATTATACGTGTGAGCAACAGTATTTTTTTTTAATAGACATATACATTAATTACAACATGTACACCACAATGTTATTTACTTAAACCAAATATTTATTTTTCATTTCTTTTAGTTAAAAGGTACAGGATATCTGTACTTTCATTATTGTCTCCAAAACAAGAAATTATATATCCAAAATTAATGTCAATATAATTATTGTTTGTACACAGATCTTACCCTAGCAGGTATAAAAGACTGTCTCTGCATTAAGCATTATATTTGCGGAGAAATATGCCGCATAATTTCTCAAGTAACCAATATCAGATGAAAAAGTTCGTTTAATAATAATAATTTCACTCTACAGTGCATTTCAAATAAGTCTTAATGCATTTTATGACTGGGAAAAAGGAAAACAAAAGACAGCTTAATTACCCACTCTTCTTGCTCCTAAATTGTACAAAATGAAAACTAAGCTCAAGATCAAGTTTTAATTAAAAGACAAATTTCTTAAAATCAAATTTCTTATCCTTATCTTGAAGATACACTGTTTGTGCTAAAATTTAAGAAAAACTCTTAAAATATATATAAAGCATTGAATTGCTCATTCAAGCTACCGATTTCCAATCGATCAAAGTATCAGAACAACTCAGAATCTGTGTTTCACTGCATTTTATAGTACAACAAACATTGTTTACTTGATTACCACTCAATTTTAAAGGTTTATGCCAAAATGTTGCAACAGTATTCTTAATGCATTTGGCGAGGAAAATATTTTGCTTTAATTTAATTATTTAAAAAATACAAGTAAAATTTAAATTGTATTATTAAAGGTTATTAACTCAAAAAACAGTATATCTTTCAATATCTGTCATACTAAATGTGATTTCAAAATTAATATTACATTTCATGGGATATTTTTGTCATCAAACATTTAAAATATGATTTTTAGATTTCACATATCACTATAGATATGTTTAATAATACTGTACAGCATATAATGCCAATGTGTTTAGAATTACTTCTTTGCTTATTTGATCAATAACCTTGGAATACATAAACAGCACTCTGTAGGGGAAAAGTAGTCCAGTTGGAGGGACTAATAAACGCATTGATTGGCATACAACACCACCTAGTACCCACTTACACTTTCGGGCTTTAGAGAAAAATATTATGGATAAAAGTGCCAAACCAAAGGATACAAGTTGTATCAAATTGTTTATCTTAACACAAGAGACCAAGCTCAAAACCTTTGTAAGATTGTAAGCTGAATAGCGTTAGTGCCCTATGTCAAATGTACACAAGCGCTAATAATAAGTATAATTAAAACATGTTTTTAATAATTAATTTATGAAGTTTATTACAAAGTTGAATTCACTCCAATGTACAATCACCTTTAGTATTTTTCTAGAATTTGTTCAGGAACATCACATAGCAGGTAATCATCTAACGCCTGGACAGTTGAGGGCGCTATGCTATCTAGAATCCATTCCCTTGAAATCACAGGCACTTTGAATTTTCGAAACAGACCTTTATAAGTAGACAAAAAAATTTTAATCAATGTATAAATATAAAGCCCAAGTACAGTACTTTTAAATATATACACATATTAAAATATTACGAAAATGTAATGCGTGTAAACACCTTAACTAACTGGGTTATATACATTGTATATACATTAACAGTTTACAATATGTATAAAGCAATACTACAAGACAACTTAGAGCTTCTCTTCACGATTTACAGAATGTTGGTCTATGTAAAAACTCCACTTTCTAGTTTTGTGATTGCTGTTGATTTTGAAAAGATGGTAAATCAAGTATGTATGTACCTTGGAAATTGATTGGTTCTTGATCCGCATCTGGTTGAGCAATGATAATGGCCTTGCGATTCTGATAGAAGGGGAACATCGTTGGATGCGACACTTTTGTAACACCAGTCAACTCTAGCAACTGAGTTAGCTGACCTGCAGCAAAAAGAAAAATAGTAAATGCTACTACTACTCTTTACTTTAACAAATGTCTTCTCATATCTGATAAAATTTTTGCTATAATGCGGTAGACAATCACAACAATCTCAGCGACGAGGGCGTATCCCCATACTGCGGTTTTGGGTGCTGGCTTGGATTTTCTTTTTTTTATTTTCCAGTTACATCTGCTCACTTGTTCTGCGCATAGAGAATCTCGTATTTTGCTCAATATAAATGAATAACCTTTAATCTTCCACAAAGTAATGATGGAACAGGAAATGCAAAATTACTTACCGTAAATACTCGCGTATTAGGTGACCCCGGAGTTCTAGTAGATTTTTGGAAGTTTTTTTTTATGTCGAGATATAAGCGAACCACCCTCTTTTATTGTTGGAATTCCTACCTTTTTCTGCTTTTAACTGGTCTTGAAACTGCATTTCGCTGACTAAAAACAAAGCTAAGTTCAAAGCTTTTTAAATGTTATCAAATTTTATTTCCCATATTTAAAATTCTCATATTACGATCGATTGGCACATAAGACGAACATAATTTAATATATCTAAAATTTGTATGCTGTGCGTATAAATGCAAGTACTGTATATACAGTAGTATCTCTTCGACAAAACATGTGAAATTAAAAATAGGGAAGTTCAACAAACAAATGGAAACAATTATTAATATATTTTAGATACCTCACTCATAGACTACACTTTGTATGTATGAAAGTTTCTAAGTCTATACTTATATATATACTTATATATAATTCTTTTAAATGTTGCTTGATTTGATTTGATTTATTCGATATCAACAGAACAAAATCGGAACAACAATAAACAGAGAAACAAAAAAGAGAAAACAAGCAAGTCATCATTATTGACATCTGGGATAACCCTCTAAATCCCAACACAGGATTTATTTCCAGAGGGGTCCCAATTTCTATTTCTGATATTAGCTTTAATGTTAAACATTTTGACAAAGTGACCAATCAAATAGAGATTATTAATTAACCAACTATAACTTTTCATTATGGCAATTTAATAGCATTATTAATAAGGATTTATCAAAAAGTTTCATAATTACAGTACAATATTAAATTGAACTGGTATATTTTTTTCCAAAATTGAGAACACTTTAATATAATAACAATAAACGTGATATTTGTGAAAACATCAAAGCTAATATCAGAAATAAGCAACATTTAAAAGAAGTATATATTTAGAAACTTTAATACATTTATCTGTCCAACACAATTTACAAACTCAAATCATAATTAAGACAATAATAAATTATGCTTTCCTATGAAGCAAATTGGTTACACTTCAGTTATTGCAGTAGTAAAGCACTGGGTAGGAAGACCAGAATGCTTATTTCACAAGCCACTAACCAGTACAAATCTGCTTTACTATTTATTAGGATGTGGGTACCTTTTGTCAACATAGTGAATTCACCAACACAACAGACATCGTAGTCCTGGAGAAGAGAAGTTTTCTGCATCCTTGATCGCTTGGGTCCTTGGTGGTCATTACCACTTGCAACATCACCGACGACCTCATACTTTTCCTCCGGTAGCAAGTAACCAGCTTGTAAACAGTCCCGCACCCCTACAAAAAGTCAAACATGGAGTAGAAGCTTTATGTTCAGGATATCAGATGGAGTTGCAGCATCATGATTAAGATGCTTGCGTATGCCTTATAATTAAAAATTCATGATAAAAGTAGGGGATTGTCTAATTCGCTACTAGGACCCCAACACATTGGCAGGTTCTGGAATTCAAAATAGAGGCGCTTAGAAAGGCAACTGGAAAAATGCAGTGTCCAGGCCTCCTCAACCTTAGGTGGTTGGGACTGAGGCAGGAAATGGCGCTCTGACTCACATTTGAATGTAATTTTCTCATTTCTCTAAATTTTTTTTTTATTTTCAAAAGATTACGGCCCTCCCACTTGAATCTGCCTATGCGCTGAAGTCTTTGGAGTTGTCGGGTCTTAGTGCAGTACACACCAAAATACCCTCTATACTCCATACGTATTTCACCTACATACTTGTGCATTAATATTTAGACACAGAAAGTGCTAACATGAATTAATTACCACCTACTCAGACTGACAGCATATAGTAAAACAAATACAACATGGTTTTATTTTGATGTTACTGTAGATGACTGACATTACCCACCTCCTCCTAATGTTGTGAGTTAGTCCCAATCATTCAACTTCCAAAACAATGCTGTAGCCAGGGTTTTCAAACAGCGTGGGACAATATCAGGATGGATCCACTTTAAGCATAAATTCAAATAATGAGGACCCATTATTTTAAAGTTGACCCATTTTACACAAAAATTAAAAAATCTGGACCCATTTTCTAAAAAGTTGACACATTTTACACAAAATATGAGAAATCTGGACCCATTTTTTGTGCACCCAATAGAAAATTTATGTGGGACTGTCCCAACTGCTGGCTATGGCATTACTCTTAAAGTATTGAGTGTACAGTCATCTAGATATTTTAATAAGTAAAACTGGTTTTAATTCTATAACTGGTACTTTCGCTTTGTTGACTCACGATGTTTCGTCTAGCTCTGCTAGACATGGACGCTGTGCAAAACTCCTTGCTGCATGTCACATGAAAATACACCAGTAATTCTAGTGGAGCTAGACGAAATGTTGTGAGCTATCAAAATGCAATTTCCAGCTATAGACATGTTGTATTTGTAATCACAAGTAATTTTTCAGGTTGACTTTGAAAGAAAGTAATGCATACATTTGAAACTGATGACCCATTTTTTTCCTGCAATTCCTAGAAAATATTTTAATGTCCTTTCACAAACAAGATTTGCATCTAAAAAGAAAAAAGAAAAAAACATGACCTTAGTGTAAATAAAGAAGTTTTTCAGCATTTTTTAAGCATCTTAATTTGCATGAATTTTTAACAATGTGTTTTCAGTGTGGTTGTTAAATTTCTGTTCTTTAATTGCATTCTACATCTTGCTTTTCTGTTGTGAATCTTTCATGATACAGTAAAACCTTGAATAGGGAAGAAATGTTTTACATGTACTGTAGCTGGATTCAGATATTGGATCTACCACCAGGTACCCACTTATACTCTTGGGTAGATAAATTCCATTGACATAAATGAATTGCATAGTGTGAATAAAAACCCAAACAATGGTTGAGACCACAAACCAAGACACTGCACCAACCAGTCTCTAGTAGGATTATATAAATACAGGTAATATTTTTAATTATTTAGCTCAATTTACCTGTTTTCACAATGACATGAGTTGTGTTATTGTTAAATGTACTCGCAAACGGAATGCCAGACTTCTGTGCAAGTTGCTCTACTTCCTTCTACAATTTCAGAGGGAGCAAAAAAAAAATCCTATTACATGACAACAGCTGACTGATCAATTAATCAATTGTCAAAATGCACTTGGGCACTGTGACATTAGTATAGAGTGAATTGTATTATAAGATAATACTTTATGATTAAGAAGATTGTTTCGAATGCTGTAGGATTTTCTGTGTGCTTTGTTATTATTAATACTTGGCCTAAGAAGCAATTTGTATCTCTTGTTCACATCAAAACAGTAATAATGAAGCATTTTATATTTCATAACATTTTTTTATAGATTTTGTAATATTGTGAATTTTGAATTTATATGGAGTTGATTTCTATTGGTGTATAAACCTGTTGATGTGAAGTCTCTATCATTTGTATTTTGAAGCAAGTAGAACAAAAATTATGGTCATCCTGAATGCTTTCTATTGTGAGTAAGCCACTTGCAAAATGCAATCAAAAAGTACTGAACTTAACAACTTACCAATTCTGAACGGGAGAGACCAGTGGCTACAAAGGAGTAATTCCTCTCAACTTTAACAGGAGCATGTTCTATTGGCAGCCCAACATTAGAACAGTATGCTGTGTTTGACTGCTCAGTACCATCCACTCTGTGACGTTTTGGAGTTGTATCATGCTGTCCACAGACATCACCTAATATTGTTCTTTTCCTCTTCTGCCCACTTTTCTTGTATTCTTGCATAATTGTATTGATACTGCTCAATTTCTCTTTCAGTTCCTGCGGTGACTCTTTAAGAAGTTCATTGGCACACACTGGTGGCGGAGGTGATGGTGATCGTGGTGAATGCAGTATCGATGGTGATTTCAGGCAAGTGTTAGAACTTGGTGGTGTTGATGTCCAACCATCTGTTTTGTTACCATTGATTTCATTCGTATCACCAAGTACCTTAACAAAAGAATTCACATTACTTTTCTTGTTCCTGCCAACATCCCTCAGTTCTCCCAACTGGTCATCTTCATCAGTATCTGAATCTATAGCTGGTCTTAATATCCGGGACCTTCCTGGTGCTACACCCAGTCTTTGTTTTGCAGTTTTTAAAGAATTTACATCAACCTCCTCATCGGATATTTCAATTTCTTCAATCCCATCCTCTGTATCACTGAAACATTCTGGATTAAACGTTTCATCCATCTTAATAGATTTTTTGTCAGCTTCTTCATTACTTTTCAATCCAGATTTGCCATCTTTCATTGCTGCTTCTAATTCTTTAATCTCTTGCGCAATCTTTTCCATCTCCTGTTTTGCTGTTTCACATTCCTATTGAAAAAAAAAAACAAGGAAATTATAACTTGAAAATATAACATTCTCCATGGTAAAATTGTAAAGACTGAGTAGAAAAAAACTATGTTCCTCAAACATAAGGCAATACGCGAGTTAAATTCTACAACAGTCATGAATAACTCATCCATTACCACTTATCGGATGGTGGTGGCTTTAAGTTGGTAAACAGTTTATCACTGTTCATTAAAATAGATGTTGTGAAGACTTAGCTTTACTGCACATCTGACTAATATGCAAGGAGAGAGGGGTCTCTAGTTCAAAGAAAAGACTGTTATGTCTAAATGAGCTATCTTATTACATCTAATTTTATTTTAATGTGCATGATGATACCCATCGATAAGGCTTTTCGCGATACAAATTCCTGTATTTTTATTATTATATTAATATTATCAGCACTGACTTTCAGGAGACATTTGACAATGCAATAGAAAAAACATGCAACTCTAATGAATTTGCAGGAGGTGGGTTAGAATCCTGGAGACATTTGCTTGCTCGCTGGGGTACTAGCAAAATCAGCCGTTTGTCGGAAAAAAATTTTAAATTGAGTTTTTGGTATATTTGATTTAGCATGAATTCTTTATAACAGTGTTTATTTGGTAGAAATTGGTTGAGTATTAGTGAAGTAATGAATATTGAATTTATTGGATATCAGCCATGTAGGTTTTGAGAAAAGAGCTTCCAAAGATTCTAAAATAAATAGTTTATTAACAAGATTTGTACTTTTAAAATAATTTTAATGTACTTTTCAGTTAGATTCTGATTCTCAAACATTTTGGATGCTTGTGCAAAATTAGACAAAGACACAGTACAAAGTTTTTGCCAGAAACAGTCACATTTTTGTTGAATATTACCTGAGTATTAAGGATTTCAGCTTGGCTTGACAGAAGGGATGATGCACTATTTCCATTATGGTTGGGAGAACAATTATCATCACTGCAATTTTCATCATCTGTAAACATTTTAAAAATGACATGTAAACCTATGTGTGGCAGAACTTGATTGATTTCAAGTAGAGTACATCAGGGCAGAATGAAAACCTCCTGATAAAAAGCAATGTCAGTAGAATAATTCAAAAGATGTCCTGAAGTAAAATTGCAGTACCCACTGCTACTTGGGGATCTAATTCAATCATCCATAGTTACTACCAAAAGCTTAGTGGTCTAGTGGTATGATACAAACTAGTAATCTGAAGGGCAATTTAAACAATAATTGACTGATTCATAATTCAGTATTTATAGGCTATTTATTAAAAATTTTCTGTTCAATAGAAAGTATAACAAATATGTGTAACATACCACTCTCGAGGATATCGTCGACAAGACAATCTTGACTTGTCAGCACCTCTTGCATGGGGTTGTCCACAATCGTCTCATTTTCAATTGACTCTCCAATTAACTGCTGCTGACTATCAGGTAGTTCAACCTCTTGACTGTCTTTATGTATCACATTATGTGATTCCCTCGTTAAGCCCTCTGACTTTGTGGGGACTCTCAGTGGTGTGGAACCTAGTGGACTGATCAGCTGAACTTTCTGTACATTAAGTACATCATGGAAGACACTTAAGCTCAGATGCTGACTTCCTGTAGACATACCAGAATTGCTACTTTCGAAGCAAATGCTGCCATCTTTGTTTGGAGATATGATAGTTTCTCTTTCAGTGTTATCCAAAGCAGTTTCTATATTTAGTGTTGTGGGATTTCCAACACTCTTTTTTGAGAATCTAGTTGCAAGTTCTGAGGTAGAGTTTGCAATAGATTCAGATGATTTCTGGTAAAGGATTGGTGTTGGTGGAATAATGTTGTCCTCATCATCGTCATCAATGTCACTACAACCACCAACATGAGTAAGCATCTCATTATTTCCCTGTGATTCCTGGACATGTGTGGTATTTTGTGTACTTATTTCACACTTGAAGTCTAAATCCTTATCTCTTATATGTTCTTTTACTTCCACTTCAGATACATTTACTTCTGCTTCATCATCTCCATAAACATCCTTACAGATGTCAGAAGAATTGCTATGAGCACTTTCAATGTTCTTATTTCCATCGCTATTGAGCTGTAGTGTACAATTCTTGGCAGAACTGTGTTCCTTAAGTTGATTCTTTTCCTCTTCTTTCAAACTGTCTTGAGTACCATTTGCTGTCACTGTCAACTCACAATTCACACTGTCACTGACATTATTGGATTTCTTTACCTTCAGTGCTAATCGTTTCCTCTTCATTACTGGTCTGTAATCAATTATTGGAGGTGTTAGCTTATCAACAGATTGAGATGCACCTTTGGTAGCAGGAATGGCATAACTACATGCACTAGATGCATCACTATGGTTTTGTGTCTCACTTGTTGCCTGTGGTAATTGGGAGCCTGCTTTTGAGATTTGTGTACAGTCCTTTTGGCTGGAGGAAAGCTTTTGAGGTGTTATGGTATTGTTGTCAATAGAAACTGTGTTTATATTATTTGAAGATGACCTTTGCGACCTTTTTATATTCAGAGAACATTCTTTTTTAGCAGTCCCTGTTCTTGTCCTGTTCTGACTTGTTCCAGTTGATGAATTAAAACAATTTCTAGATATTCTTGGACTTCGTCTGATAGACTGGCTTCCCTGACGAGATGAAAGTCCTCTACTTTTACGTCTGCTACTTATTGAATAAGACAACTGATCAGCATCTGAGAAGAGGTCAGAATTTGTATTAAATTCAAGACTGCTAGTTGGAGTACCAAGAGGTGTGACACACTCTTTAGAATACTTGGCCATGTCATCCTTATTTGAAGTAGCATTGTTGTAATCTTTTTGAGCTGTTGGATTACCACATATCAAATTTGCATTTACTACATCACTAAACAATTCAGACTCTGGTGACTTGTAACGAATACTACCATTTTGCTGCATTTTTTCAGTGGACTGAACATCTTCTTGAACCTTAGAAAATTGTTGCTTTGTAGTAACTTCAATGGCTTGGCAATGTTCCTTCTCAGGAGTATTTCCAAGAGCAAATGTTTTCCTTTTGGACCTTCTAGGTTGTTTTGGAGGTTCCTGATTCTTAGACGACAACTCTGGTTTGTCCGATATATTTGCCATCGACTCATTCTTGTTTAAAAATTGCTTTAGTTCATCAGAATTCTGGTTCTTCTTATGGGTGAAATTTTTTCTGATGCTATTATCTTTAAGATCGCTATCATTTTCCAAGAACGTCTGAAGATTTTCCGCAGACCTTCTTGTAGTATCTTTATTTCTGTCAGGAAGACCTGTATCAAATGCTACTGGAGTGTCTACTGATTTATGGTTCAGTCCATCTTCTCTCTTTCCTTTCTGTTTGGCTTTCTGGTTACTTTCATCAGTATTCATGCATGGTGTATCTTTAATCTTGGCTATTGCAATTGATGGTTCTTCATACTCAATATCACTGACACTTAATTCAATTGAATCTGTTGTATCACCCTCGATACAGGTTTCTAAATTCTGATCAACACAAAGCTTCTCCTGTTCCACAGCAATCCTATCTATGCCAAACATATTTTCCTTGTCATCTTCAGCAACTCCTGCTTCTTTAGAAATTACCTTCTGCTGCACATCCTCTTCATTTGATGTTGATATATTTGTGTCCTGTTGTCTCAACAAGCCTGTAGATGATGTCAGTTTGTCTGAATTACACAATGCCCCCTTTTGAAAACCTTTTCTCAATTTTTCTTTAAGTTGAGAATTGCTTTGTTGGTTTGGAATTGCTGCAGTTGAAGTATTTCTTTTATTTGAATTGGGACTATTTTTTAGATTTGTTGATTGGTCAACTGAATTTTTTGAAATGTCATCAACTTCATTGCTAAGATCAGTATTAGAAATTATTCTATTACTTCTTCTTTGTCCTGATGACCTGTCCTTGGTACACTCGGAAGTACATAAGTCATTATGTTTTTGACTTTTGGAAAGATATTGCCTATTAGATCTTCTAAGTTCCTTGTTTTCATGGATCTTGGCATTGGATTGTACAGAAAAATGTCCCATTACCTGCTCTCCATCATCATCTGCAATAACTTCACTATTGACAGATAAATAAACATCTTCAGGATGTAGATCCTTTGCTTGATTTTCTCCTGAAATATTTTGCATAAGACTTGATACTTCTAGTTTAGCAGTCTCTTCTTCCCTTGGAAGTAGAGGTGTTTCTGGTACAATATTTGGTAATGGTTGTCCTTGAGCTCTTGGACTAGCTTTAATTAGTTTTAATGGTGGAATGGCTGACACATTTCCATCAGTCTCCAGCATTGCTTTAATTGACCTAGTCTGCCTTCGATCTTCACATTTAGTGATATGTTCACTATCTGTTGTTGCTGAATGAGGTTTATTATTTCCTGAATTTCTGAGTGAATAAGATTTTCCTTCAACACAACTGTCTGAAAATTCCTGAATTTGGTTTTCATTAGTAACAGAATTTTCTTGGGGAAGCATTGGTCTTCTACCCCTCGATTTTTTAGGTTTTGACTGTTCAGTTATGTTTATTGCAGCTCCGCGAATATCAACTTTTGATTTCACTTGTCTGGAGCTATGTCTCTTGTTCCCCAATTCTTTAGGCAAAGTACCAAACTCTTGTGCTAGTTCCATAGCAACTTCCCAGTCACTTTTATCATTTTTACGAGTTGCAATTTTACGAGTGGTTTTTAAAGCATCTTCTTCAGAAGTACCAAACTGACGAAGAGATTTCTGCATCTTTTTTCGCCTTGAGAGCTTTTCTATATCATTATCTTTAATGGTTATGGATTTAGTAGCCAAATCTTGAGGTTTCAATAAATTTTCATTTCCAGAACTGCTACAAGAGTTTACTTGTTCAACATCAGTTCCATTTATCACTGGTATGTCTGGTGTACTTCCTCCTCTCTGATTTTGAGGCAATTCAGTCTTTCTACAATGTTTGCTTGGATATATCTTCTGAAAAAGCATTCCAACTTCCTTATTTATAATTTTCTGAGCTAAATGACTGTCTTCACATTCTTCTCTGCCTTCATCATGATTAGCTGATTTTTTCTGAAGAACATGGTCTTCAAATTGCACTTTATTGACTACACTATCAATTGCACAAGTACTTTCTTTTTCTTTGTTGAAACAACTATGTTCAGATTCATCTATTACATCTTCATTGACATCAGTCCTATCTCTCTCAATGGTATGGCTCTGTGCATCCACAATCTGGTACTGTACATCGAGGCACTGCTCTGCTATGTGTTCAGAATCTATGTGATCAAATTCATGAAGTCCATTATCAGAAAGAATACCTCCTTGCTTTTTTGTTTTATTAACAGTCTTTAACTCCACCTCTTTACCATTCCAGTCATCTTCTAACTCATTATTTCCATTCAAATGAACATCAATATCATCAACAGTCTTCATCTTCTCTTGTCTAGATTCCTCAACCTGAATTGCCACACGCTTAGGTGGTAGCTGCTTGTTAGCATTTACCCTCAACTTTAACGCTTTTCTCACTCCTTTCCTTTTGGCTTTCTTTTTTGGAGTTCTTTGGCTTGGAATAAATTCATACGGATCTAATACACCTTCAGTCATTTCTATATAATAAAAAGAATTATCAAAAACTTTTGATATTATTGTTGCAAAAAAACATATTGTCAGATTAATAAAAGTACTAGCTTTTAAAAATATTTTTAAAAATTGTTGACAAATTAGATATAAAATTACATACGTTTTGAAGGACTTTGTTGTTTCAAAAGTGAGATTCCATTATCAGCCCTAAAACTTATTTCATCACAATCATTCTCGACATCTGAAAAAAAGTAATAAAACTACTTAAATACTGTATTACCACAATTAGTATCCCATGGCTGAATCTGTGTATGGGCAACTAAAATATCTGGGATAAGTCAAAAGTGGCAAAAAACATACATTTAGCAAAGAAAATGTGATAACTATCTGTATACTTGAAAAGAGAATATAATGACAACAGAAAGGTCCCAAATAGTCTGACTTATCACTGGTGGTGGATCTAGGATTTTGCAATTTGGAGGGGGGCGGGGGGAACGTCCCCTCCTATTTGAGATTTTTTTTTTTTTTTAAATTAGTAGACGTTCCTAGATGGCATCTGAACAGAAGTTAAGCTTAAAATAAAAAGGGTTTTACCAGAGTTGCCTACCACACACAAGACGAGGGACATTTTTTCACCCCTAAACGAAGGGGAGTGGATAGCCACCATATACACCCAGCTAGATCTGCCTCTGGTCACAGTGAAAATATTTAATCAATAAAAAGGACAATTAATATAAAGAAGATGAAAACTAATCAATAACTGACAACATGGACAAAAAACTTTTGGGTGACTTTGAAATGAAAATACTCATTTGACGAAAATAAATAGATGCTGTAGAGTTGGTCTATATGACTTACCTTGCCACCCCTACAAAGCATACTGTAAGATGGATTAGTATATTGTTAACAAGAGATTATGTTTAATAATACTTAATATTCTGTAAAATAAGAAAACTATTCTATTAAAGCCTATGAAATGATTGACATCAAAAATGCTCTTTAAAAAATTTGTTAAAAATTACAAAATGTTGCAGTTGTCCAAGTCAATAAACAAACGATACTAAATTGGCTGGTAATGGAAGAGCATGGGAAAAGAAAATACATAAATAAGCAAATGTGCATTAATTCTATATTAAACTGGATATCAGAATAACAATTCATGACTTAAAAACAATTCCAGCATTACCTTTAGATGTAGGCCTAAGTGGTGCCTTCTTGAGGGCAGCCAGGAGGCTACTTTCCTTCTCATGGTCTTTCTGATAGTTTTTTGCATTAGATGGTGTAGGAAAACTGTTGCTGTAACAAAGCAAACAAAGCCAAGTCGATGCATTGATACATTATTAAAAAGCAGCAACTGTTTTAATAGACTCTTTTCAACGTTTACATTGGCCTATCTAAAAAGCTGGTGGTGCCCTACCCTGGTAGACAGATCCTTGAGGTATAGGAGAAATTCATAGAAATCAGGAGACTAGTTATCTTTTTTTTTGTTTTGACAAAAATATGAAAGCTCCATGATGAAACTCACATATGTCAGTTATATATATTAGGAATCGACAAGAAAAATAAAAATCTGCGAAATTATATTTTTTCTATTTTTATTCAATTTTTAAAGTCGTTTTCGTCTTATCTCTTCAGATGTTGGCAAGTGCGAGCGTGCTAGGCAAAGGATGCGAAAGCTTCATACATGAAATGCATTTAAAACATACCTGATGTTTATGTTGCTTCTACTAGGTTCTTGTATCTGAATGTTGTCATCAATGTCATCACCATCAATAAAAATTTCCATTGAGCTTGTAGATTTCTGTGTACTTTTTCTCAAATTTGCTTTTCTTGTATTACTCTAAATATAACAATGATAATTATTTACAATTGCGAAGATTCCATATGAATATGTTGAAGTACATTAATAACAATGGTTATTTGGTCAAGATCACTAGGCTCTAAAGTATACAAAAATTAAATTTTTATTTGTCCTCATTCTAATAATTGGAAATCGGAAGTTTTTTTTTGTAGTTTGTGTAAACATACGGTCAATGCAGTATACATCCTTTACATATATTTTTTTAGTAAAAGTTTATTTGTGTCTCATTTAAAAAATAGGCTCCCAGCGTGAGCGTGTGTCTATGCTCTGTAATGCTTTACTGTATTGCGTTTACTAATAAAGTATCCACATGGGATTCGGTTATCAGGAAATGTGTGGTGTTGTTTTTTATGACTTTTGTACAGTAATAAGGTACTTAAGATGACACTTGACCCATCATGCACCTCCACCGAATTTACCCTTTCAGCCATCTTTAACTGCCAGACAACAACATTGTGTCTGGGGGCACAGACACAAAAACCATATCATCATTTTTTATGATCTCTATTACACTTTACAGATGTGTTCTTAGGTTAAACAATTATAATTAAACTGGAGAAGTGAAGTTCTGTCTGTGCCCCTTGTGCCAAAGACACACAAACAAATCTACAAATTGTATCCACTTACTTTGTGCTTCTTTGATGATTTCTTTTGATTCTGTCTAGGTTGAGCAGGAGATGGTGTGGGCTGGGAGCACTGTGATAAAATGACTGCCCCCCTTGGAGGGGAACCTACAAAACAGTATAATTTTACTGATAAACACATTGACAACATTGTATAAAGCAGGGGTGGGCATAAAAATGGGTTGGAGGGCTAAAATGAATTTTTGATTTAACACTGAGGGCCGCACCCATATTTTGACTTTCCAGTTTGCTTCCAATAACCATCATGGACTGCTTTCATACCACTTTATGTTCAGTTTCAACACACTTTTAACAGATAGTCAGGCTGTAAAAAAACAAGGGGATTTCTAGCTAAAGATGGTTGGCGGGCCGCACACATAGGGTTTTCAATTTAATTTTGCGGGCCGCAAAAAAAAATCACCATTGGGTCGCATATGGCCCGAGAGCAACACTTTGCCCACCTGTGGTATAAACCAACTATACCGATAATTAAGTTTGTTCAGTTGTGCAAAATATTGAACATATTTTTGATGAATGAGCATTAATTATTACACAAACATTATATTATTAATAATATTATTATCATTCTGTTTTAAAATTCTTCTAAACCTACAACTGATTATGAGAACTAGGTTTATGGGAACTTAGCAGCATCAGCGGGTAGGATTCATTGAAAGGGTACATTGTTAGTACAGACAATGTAATCACCAGTTTCTGTTTGACAATCCTCAAATTCTGATCATATCAATTTGGGAATTCATTAATCTTGTTCTTTTGACACCTTTGAGTCTTTTATTGCATTTTTTATTCATTGCACATAAATTAATCATTGATAATATTCATTTTTATAAATTGTATAGTTCTCCCTTTTAATTTTCTTTTTAGCTTTGTGATTGTGAATTTTATGTAATGTTTTTATGTGAGGACCCCATGATCGTCAGCAACCACTGTTTCGGTTTGTGTCACCCTCAGTGAGTAAAGTTGAATGAAATAATATTTTTTTAAATTACTTAATTACCATATTTGAATTTCTGTTATAGGCCTACGTACTTACACTTTGTCCCACTGTCCTCTTCAATTGCTGTTGTAACCAAACCAACAGCTGCTACTATTTCTTTTAATCTTTTATTTTCTGTGAGACCTCTGTGAATTCAAAATTTTTTGGTAATTAAAATTTTATTATTATACAACATATTTATGCAGGATTCAAATGAAGGTAAATGTACAATAATGATATTGAGAAAGCATACTAAAATTGATCTACCATATAGTCCTGATTAAACCAACAATAAAATAATAATAAAGATGAAATTATTAATACAAGGAAAAAAAAAGAAGTTATAAATTAATGGTAAATGAATCTGGATTTGAAGAGTGCAAGTTACATACTTTCTATATGGTCTACAAAGTCTTGTTTGGCTTATAGGCAGGCTTTGAGCAAACAAAATATTGATGTACCAAATGAACTTACTGAAGGTGTGCTTGGCAAAAAACTTAAATGGTTTCACCTTTTCCCCCAGGATTTTCCATCAAACCCCCTTTTAAAATCAGGTGTACAACATATACAAAAACACTCCAGTATTTTGAATACTTAAAGCCCCATTCTCAGCAAAACTTCATTTTTTAAGAAAATCTGATTTTTATATATGTTAGAAAAATTTATAATAATATGAAATTGCTGGTTTAACTGAATTTAGACATTCCTAACATGAAAAAAAAATGCAAAGTAAGATTCAAATTTTATATTTTTGTGTTCCACACAGAAAATAGACATGGATGAATTTGTTTATGCTTGATTTTGTGCCGCAAACATTACCTAGTCCTACCTCGATTTAGGTTTTCTTATCAGACATAAAAAATGGCCAACATGAATATTTTCCGTTGCTAATGTTGACACTTGTGAAATATATTATAGGCCTACGTACTTACACTTTGTCCCACTGTCCTCTTCAATTGCTGTTGTAACCAAACCAACAGCTGCTACTATTTCTTTTAATCTTTTATTTTCTGTGAGACCTCTGTGAATTCAAAATTTTTTGGTAATTAAAATTTTATTATTATACAACATATTTATGTAGGATTCAAATGAAGGTAAATGTACAATAATGATATTGAGAAAGCATACTAAAATTGATCTACCATATAGTCCTGATTAAACCAACAATAAAATAATAATAAAGATGAAATTATTAATACAAGGAAAAAAAAAGAAGTTATAAATTAATGGTAAATGAATCTGGATTTGAAGAGTGCAAGTTACATACTTTCTATATGGTCTACAAAGTCTTGTTTGGCTTATAGGCAGGCTTTGAGCAAACAAAATATTGATGTACCAAATGAACTTACTGAAGGTGTGCTTGGCAAAAAACTTAGATGGTTTCACCCTTTTCCCCCAGGATTTTCCATCAAACCCCCTTTTAAAATCAGGTGTACAACATATACAAAAACACTCCAGTATTTTGAATACTTAAAGCCCCATTCTCAGCAAAACTTCATTTTTTAAGAAAAATCTGATTTTTATATATGTTAGAAAAATTTATAATAATATGAAATTGCTGGTTTAACTGAATTTAGACATTCCTAACATGAAAAAAAATGCAAAGTAAGATTCAAATTTTATATTTTTGTGTTCCACACAGAAAATAGACATGGATGAATTTGTTTATGCTTGATTTTGTGCCGCAAACATTACCTAGTCTTACCTCGATTTAGGTTTTCTTATCAGACATAAAAAATGGCCAACATGAATATTTTCCGTTGCTAATGTTGACACTTGTGAAATATAACATTTTATTGCAATTATTTCAAACTTTTTAAAAAATTTTTTTCATGGCTTATAATAATTAGAGTAAATGCATGCATATTTTTTCTGAAAACCATTTCTTTAGTGAAATTTTACCGAGAATAAGGCTTTAAAAACTGGGGTTGGAAGAATGTTAGTTAAAAACTAATTAGTAAATGTCTTACCGCTTTGTAATTGCTTTCTTACATAAAGGACAGGGAGCTGTGGGCTTTGTTTGTAGAACAGCCAGTATGCAGAACCTAGTGAAAACAAGAGATACAGCACAAAATAGTATGACAAGGTTAATTCACAAACAAGATCCCTTCCAGCAGTATGTTATTACAGTTTTTAAGGCAGACGCTATTTTCTTGATTATGATTGGATATTATTGTCCTAAACCAATCCTTAATACTGTAATTCCTATAAGAGTGGCGTAACAACAGCCAATGATTAGACTCAATATGGTATTTACTACTCACCTACAAAACTGGTGCCCGCATTTGGTAGATACTGGGTCTTGCAACATTTCCAAGCTGTATAAAAAATGTAATTTAAAACTTTGCTTAATGTGTATCCTCTAATAATATAGTATCATCATCCATAAAGTACTCATTTAAATCATGTAAGACAAATGTAGATACAAACAATTGATCTTACCAAACAGAGCATTCTAAGTTCTTATGGATCAGTCCAATACTTTGGTGAATCTTGTGCATCTGAATATTTACAGCCATCTTTATGAACTCTCTTCAAAACCTGAATTTAAGTTCCATCAAAGTAAAATTAATATACTGTATTTACTCAAAGAAATTTCCCGCCTTCAATAAACGCCCCCTCAAGAGCCTCATTTGGATTTAATTCCTCCCTCAAATAAACACCCCCCTATGACTGTAGTGACAAGCAAATCTAATGATAGAACATCATTCTCAACAGCCTATTTTAATTTATTAATATACTAAAGTAGAATTTGGATTGGAATGGATGGAGTGGGTTAAGATGTTTGCCCTACAATCCCACCCAGGGTCCTGGGTCCAAATCATGTGACAGCACCACCTAGCCACAGGCCTAGGCTAGATGACTTTTTCTCACTAGACTAACATTATCTCCACCCCCTAACTAAAAAACAAGGCTAAGATTCGTAGTCGTAATGAGACTTCGCTGATAAAGCATTATGTTATTTCATACATTTTAAGAGGGCCCTTCCTGAATATCACAGCCGACCTTCCAGAACTGACAGGGGGCACAGGCCCTCGTGGTCCCCCGGTGGGTCCATGCACTTTTAGTATTCCACCCTAGCCTCCCTAGCCTAAGTTAACATTTAAGATAGCAAGACTGGAGTTGAGGTTAAGGTTATGGTAAGGGTGGAGTACTAAAGTGCATTAGCGCCCCTCGCTAGATCCGCCCCTGATATCACCTCATTTTGCAACCTAGGCCTAGGCCCCCTCACTTTCTGATCGATCACACACTCAACCATCTTGTTTGGCAGCGGCGCTGCCAGTAGCCTAGCCTGGCCCTAGGCTAGGCCTAGGCTACGTACGATGCGAGCCCAGAATTGTTGACCAATTTTATACTGTACTTACATTTCCAAACAGAAATAGGTATTATATTAACAAGGTATCAGTGACCATATTAAATATTACTATTTAAGTAACATTACACAGTGATTTCAGACTAAATTTTGGCAGAACAGTCAAATCTCCAAACAAATTTTTGTACACTCCCGCGCGCAATAATCCTGGATTATCCACCATCAACAGAGGGCGCTACAGTATTTTGTTAAGAAAAAAAAAAAATTAAAAATTAAACTGTTAACTGTAAAACAATTTTACTATATAAAGTAAACAATCTAAATATTAACTTTATTAGCTCAACGCAGACAGTATAATTACCTTTTAACGATTAACTGTCCGTGTAATAAAACTTTCAAAAATTCAATAACAATTGAATTGCTAATTTGAAAGAATTAAAAACTTCCAAGGGGATATAGTAGATCAAATTTGATTCGTGTTTTTTTATACATGTAGAATAAAAATTAATTGGTGTGTTATAATTTTTTAATAGAAATCAATAACTTACTTAAGGTAAGCAATTTTATTATTGAATTTTATTTCTTAAGATTGTGCTCAAACATCAACACACAGTACTCCTTAGTAAATTGTCATAATTTGATCACACTCTAATGTATGCATCTGTGTTTGTTGGTCTAAGGAACAAACAAGTTCTGATTTGGCCACCCATATGAAAGATGAAAATATATGTCTCTAAGACTATAGCTTACTATCTTTGCTTGTATTGGGACAAGGAGAGCAGACAGTTTAAAAAAAAAAAAAGAAGGCACAAATTACGAATGAAGGAACGTTTTATTTCAAATATATCCGGAACACCCATGGACATCTTGGAAAAATACAAATCAAATTTAATTACTACATAATATCATAACATTATAATTAGCACAGCATTTATCAAATTGTATATCTCATACGTTTATCAGAACAATAAAAATTGTGGTTTCTGAAGATTGTATGCATTTCATTCTTAGCCAATAAGATGTTGCCTTTGAGAACAGTAAACACAGTAAATGAATTCATGTGCTCAGTGTTTCTTTTAAACCATATTCATAGAGGGTGACCCTTCCAGCATAGCCTAGAAGGTCAGCTGATATTCAGGGGCCCTCTTTAAATAAATTAAACATGATGTTTTATTACTTAAGATTGTTAATATTTATTCTACGTGTATAAACAAATTTGCTATATCAGCAAAGTGTCACTATGAGGCTTATGGAATGGAGATATTGTTTTTTTAGTTGCGAGAAAAAAAATCCTGTGTAGTCACAGGATTTGAATCGAGAACCCTGGGATTGGAAGGCAAGCACCTTAACCACAAAGCTACATCTCTATTCAGTGTTATTTAAAAATAGGTTAATATAAAAAATACGTATCCATTTTCCTGACTTGAGCAATCTAATCGATGCAAAATGCAAAACGATATTTTTTCCAGAATATTCATCCTATTGGAAAGAATTCAGACTTTCACAAGTCATTCTGTCACAAGTCACCTAAGAAATCCAATCCCCAATCCTATATGGTGTACCGCAAACATTTACCAATTGTTACTTTGCCATGCCAACCTTCGTGCAATACAAAATACACAGATGAATTATTTTCTGACTGATTCTCTCTATTCAAAAATACATTATCACATTCAACATCATCTTGTACAGTATATCTATGTTCTTAGTAAACTTAATCATTTCTATACATCCACAGCCTCTACATGTTCAGTATTAAAATACTATATATTGCAATAAAACACACAATCCCTGAAGATTTGATACTGAACTTTTGAGAGGTCACCACTGAAATGTAAGACCACATCAAACAGACATTTTTAAAATTTTTCTCTGTAAAACAATTGTTTTAATAAGCCGAGACTTTCTTTATACTTTGTTTAGCACGAATCACGCCGTTTTGTTTTTTTATTACGCCCTCCGCTGCCTTGAAATCTCCAAAGATAAAATATGTATATTTTTTCCTAATTATATAAATTTGAAGCAAACCATTCTATTTTACATTCACAAATAAAATTAATTTTCATTTTCTCCTCCATTTTGGTGTTTTTGGCAAAAATATTTGCTAAATAAGAAAACAAAATTTTATTTTAATATTTACGTACTTGAAATAAGTACGCGAAACAAGGAATTAAAATTCTCGCTTAATAATGTTTACAATAATAATTTTAAACTTTATGACTGCAGTTTTCTATGTGCTGTACATCAAACAATCAATCACCTGGCTATTTTCTTCAGATACTATTACATCCTTCAGATACTAGTACACCAATTCCATAAACATTTATACAAACTTTCCTTAAAATTTTCCATTCTTCAACTACTCCATAAAATACCTCATAATCAATGGTTATTTGGTCTAGTGTTAAATTTAATATTATAGATAAATATTAAATAAAATACTATCAATTGTATATTATACATACCAATCTTTAATACAATATTTACCTAGTGTTGCACATGTATTGAATGCAATATGTATTTCAGATATTATTCATAATTCTATAAATATTTATGCTAAAATATCAAGCTACAGTCATGAACTGTGTATATGTATAATTTGAGATTTACTAATTGCTTGTGGACCAAACAGTTTCTCAGCACGCTTCTCAAAAGCTTTCACCATTTTCTTTACAACTTCATCGAAAAAAAGCGTGGATATATTTGAATGTAATGCTGATCGAAACTGAAAAGAAACCTGCAAATAAAAAAAAAGAAATACATATGTTTATATTTAATTCTATAACTCATTATTATTAATAACAACATGTATATTTAATTATTTAATTACAGTATGTTTGCAACCATATTTAATGAGGGTGAACCATCCACCAACTTCTGCTCATGTATTATTATTTATTATTATCATTATCATCATTATTTTTAAATACTTATCATCATTTAATTATTTATTATTATGTATTGTTACAGTAATTTTGTTTGATAACAGAATGGCCCTTTCTGGAGTGCAAATCAAACTGAGCAGCTCTATTAAGGGGACACATTTGAAACAAAAAAAAGTGTCCCCTAAATAGGATTGGCCAGAGTGTAAGTTAAAAAATATATTTTCACTCGTTTTGTGGCTGAAAAACAACGTCACCTTAATAGGCACCTTCTGGAGTGCCAATCAAACTGAGCAACTGACCAATCAGATTAGGAACAGGAATACGTGTGTGTCTCACGAACATTATGATGTCCCACAAATGCACATGTTTTCGTACATTTACGCTATCTTTTGGTGTTACCTTAGCAACAACGACCAAGGGGCGGGGCTTAGCAGAAAGGCCCATTATGTATATTTTCATCTACATCTTATGAATATTCAATCAATAAATCAATCTACCTTTTATTTCAACATAAGACAATATATCTCTTTAAATGAGCTTTTCAAGTTCATTTATTAGCATTACCTGAAAATCTAGGGTGCATGTATCTGACTTTCCCTTAATGCCAGGGCCGAATTGCCACGACGTCATCAGATGGTTAAACAGCATACCATCAGTACACACAGCCTATATAAAACAAAAACAACAATTACATATTATTATAAATAATAAATTTACAAGATCAGGAATGGACACGTATGAAGTAGACGACCTATGCCAAGATCGTGCTGCTTGGAGAACATTTTTCAGGTTTCAACCGACAGACTAACGACAGTCTACCGGGCGTTTGGGTGAGAATAATTAGTTGTTACTTTTAATATAACCATGGTTTGGTACAATGTTTTGGGGTTTTGGCCACTCCCAATGAAAATGGTAATGTAATGCGAAATGATGCAACAGGCCTAGTGGCTTTAACTATATGCAATAATTATTTTAGGCCACCATTTGAGAACCCCTGCTTGTGTTTTTCAATCTATGGCCACCAGCTGGGGAGGATTTAAGGTGGGGGGAGGGGGCACCAGGAGAGTTAAAAAAAAAAAAAAAGAAACAAAAAGAAAAAATTAATTGCCCAAAACACCTCATAGGTTAATTTCAGGCATCTAGAAAACAAAAATTTTGTGGCAGAATACCCCCGGATCTCCTAGGATGGTGTTATCTCAATTGCTCCCCCTTTTGCTCTCCCCATTTTGGACATCTCCGGATCCGCCCCAGCTCAGCACTGATGAACTTGTTCATTTCTTTGTTTGTGGAATATTTAATGATCCCCATAATACCTTTACTAGGTGTGGTCTAGTAACTGTAACCAGTGACATGTAACGTTCACAGAAAGGAGGATATCCAATCTCTAACTGCGCCTTCATGTGTCCTGGTTTGCGGCCAACAATGTCCGACTTGGTGCACCAAGGAACAAACTCTTTGTAATGTTCAACATTTGCAACTACTTCATACATCTCTTCCATAGAATATCTGAAACAATAATTCCACAAACTATTAAAAAAAATGTTTGATATGTTATTGGTGCAATTACGATAGCTAAAAATTTAAGGATAATCAATGTAATGTTTTTCTTTTATATTATAAAAAACACTGAGCTGCAAAGGATCAACCAATCCATTAACTTTCAACAAGCCACCAATAGAAAAAAAAATTCTACTGATTGAAATACTTATATTTTTAAAAATCATTAAAAAAATTATGCAATGACTATAGGAACAGTTTATTCATATACTGTATTATTTAATTAGTGGTAACCTTTTATTTATTCATTCTTAAACGAACTTTAAATAAGCCAATTAATCAAAGTAAGCGAATCAAATAGGATCTATTTATTGACTTGTTGACAACACAACACATAAATTAATGCGAAATGTATGAATTTACAATCAATTCAATATTTTAAAAATCAGTATAATAATAAACATACCCTAATATTCTTCTTTCAGAATATTCTTTCCTTTTATTAATAAAAGCAGTGAGGAAATTGCGTTGAGGTATATGATGAGGTAAAAGCATTTGCGACCCTTGCATAGGTGACACAATTCTATTGGATACTACATGTTTATAATCTCTTGTTTGGTTGTGACAAACAGATAAGCTGTGGAAAAAACCATAATAATTAATATAATAATTTGACTTGTACATTATAGAGCCACTCCACCACAAAAGTAAGTTATTGTCATTTATTGTTGCTACTGATAAAGTTGATTTAGATCATTTGGCTTGCTTGTTCTATTGCTACAAACATGGAGGAATTAGTTTGCCTAAACATTCCTCCACGTCCATCTACAAAGTACAAACATGTCCTGCTTCTTGGTTCACAATGGTTGTCTAGGCCTAGCTAAGCCTAGGGCCTAGGCCTATAATTTCACATCATAAAAAAAACAGAATGAATCCCTGAGTGTGTCCACTGAGTCTAATCCTTAACTTAGCCTAGGCCTAGTACAGTGTTGCCAGATAGTCGACAGGCTTCACGGCCAAACACACGCCATCTCACAGCCAAATTCGGCCAAACTTTTTTTCGATATCGGCCAAAATTCGGCCAGATTTTAATCCGATTAGAAGACAACAGTGGGTACATTCATTTGAAATTCTACAAAAATTATACGAAAATCAGCGCTCCTTTGTTTGAAATTGAATAAATTCAAATGATATACACAGAACAATGTTGAAAATAAATAGCCTATGTTCTTTAGTTGTTGGCATGCAGGCCAATTAAGGGGCAAATCCAGAGATGTCCGAAAGGGGAGAGCCGGGGCCGAAAAAAGGGGAGATGGGGGGAGGGGCGAAAGTAGGTCCGATCGAGATAACACCATCTTAGAGGAAATTTGTCTTTTCTAGACGCCCGAAAATAACCTGATGCATTTGGGCGATCAATTTTTATTTTTTATTTATTTATTTTTTTTTTTTACCACCCCTTCCCCTTAAATCCACCTCTGCTATTTAAAATTGATCTAAATTTGATTTAAATGTATTAAATATTATGTACATTATAGTCGATTTATAGCAAAAATTTTAAGGGCCTGTTATTGCCAAATCAGTGGATCGCTTTAATTAGAATGAATTAAGTTACATAGTTAGGTAACACAAACTGGCGTTAAAACAAACCCATGAAAACTTTAATAAATACTTTTTATCTAAACTTTCGAAATTCGCCTCTGAATGTTATTGCCGCAGTACTTAAAGTAATAAATCAATGTTGCTATAGTATCTGAATCATCTTCTTCATTCTCATATGCAACCTAACTCCACAGTAACTTCGAAGAAGTCTCTCCAAAACTTGCTTGAAATTGGATGTGCTATCGGACCCGAATTATCACATCGAGCATTTATGGCACTCTACATAAAGAACACTGCGGCACCTAGGGCTATACCATTCAAGTGGGCAATAATAAATAAATTAAAGTACAGTATTTAATTTATATTCAAAAGAAATTCAAAAGAGATCGAACCTCCACTAGTAAGATGGAACATATACAGTACAAAGACACACAATATGGTACAAACTTGCAATGAACTGTCTTCATAAAGCTTAAACGCCGTAGCGTAATCTTACAACCAGTGCCATTTTAAAGGTATTCTTATGTTATCATCCTAAAATATTTTAGCTATTAGTATTTAGTATTTGTGAGTCAACCCAATTGCTATATTTCAGAATAATTTGGATTCACAAAGGCTTACAAAGTTCAACCTTTCATATGAATTATTGGGGATTATTTTTAATATTCAATACAATTCAAAGTGTATGTGGGATTGGTTGGATTTAGATGGATTAACCCACCAAAAAATTAGAATCATGTCTTAAGACGTATTGTATTTTTTTTCATCTAATAAAATTCCATAAGATTACAGACCTGGTTCTTCCAACCCACTCTGGGAAAGTCTGTCTCTTATACACATCTAGATGTGTATAATCATTTAGATAGCCTCATGATGCTCATTTAGATAGCCTCATGATGGTTGGAATACATCGTGATAGGTGAAGCAACCTCGACCATGACAACGTGGTTGACAGATTTCATGCAAAATTTCCAAAATATAGAATTTCACTTTCAAGAATGAGGATTTGAAAATAAATTAGATGGTTACATTACATACTCTTTGTTTCTTGCTTTATTCAAAATGTTTGGTTTTGGAAGCTGATTTCAAGATTAGAAAGCATAGCCTACATGAAGTCATATTATAGTCGATGCCTATCAAATAAGTAATAAAAATTCGCCATAATTCATCAAATATCCGTGGCTCCCCCACTGGCACCGGGGGCCCTAGGCGCCCCCCCCCGGCCAAGTGAGACTCGATTCGCTCCACTAGCGATTTTAAGGTTGATTCTATTATTAATTGCATATTAAAAGTCCCCTCTCTGTCTCTTATACACATCTGCGCCTCACTGGTCTCAGCATAATTATATTTCCGCATACGTTAGGCCTAAGACAAGCTGGTTGCACGCGCGGAAGGCAAGATTCATCCCTTCATCGGTAACCAATCCTACTCTCTAAGCTAGGCCTAGCGTAGGCCTAAATCTGATCGGCTGGATGACGTTGACATTTGAAAGTAAAACACTTAACGTCCGTAAGCCGAAATCAAATTACAAGACAGAGAAATGTAGCAACAAACCTTCTTGGTCTTAATAACCGAGTCTCTACAAGTAATGTACCGTATAAATGTTGGTAAACTTTTTGTAAAATATTTACATTCTTCGCCATGGCAAACAGCCGACTACGTCGAAAAGACCGCACCGGTATGACGTATGATGACGTCATTACCCGGTTGCCGAAAACTAGGTCACTGTGCTGGGTCACTGCCGTCAAATCGTACACAGAGCCATAGATGGAAAGATTGCGACCTTGAGAATTTAGAAGCCATTTTGTGTCATACGCGATGCGCGTTCTGTGTCTAACGCATCTAACGTGATGTGCGTTCCTGTGTATAATATTGTATAATACAGTTAGCGGCCTCCTGTATAGTTTAATTCCATTTAATCTTTTTAGCAGTCGAATTTCATGTAACTCTATAGCTTTTTTTGAATGATTTCACTAATTTATATCCAATTTCATATTATAAATACTGTAATGATTTTTGAGAAGTTCTTTAATCCTCGCCGATAGACCGAGAGAGCCTTTCGATGGCAAGCATTCTTCAATTACAGTAAACAATAACAGGAAATAAAACATAGTAAGATTAATAAGGTCCTATATAATTAAAACAATTGTGGAATAGAAAATAAATAGCAGAAATATAAGGTATATGTATGAGTTTAAATAATATAACGCATGATATCATGATGACAAATAAAATACAGTTTAGAAATCAATGAATATAACAAAATGTACATAAGTAGAAATAATATATAGCATAGGCCTAGTTAGATACTGTATTCATAGAGAAATATTGCGTATGAAGGCATAATCACATGTAGAGTCAAAGTCCTTATTTAGAAATGTGAGTTTTTAACCGGATTATCCATTTCATTTCTGCGTTACGTCGTTCTTGTGTTGGTTTAAAATTGCAACCTATTATTATAGCCCTAAAGTCATTGATGGTGTGATTAGGTGAATTAAAATGTACACTTACTGGGAAGTTGAGTTTGTGTCTTAGAGATGATTTGTGGTTGTTCATTCTAGATCTGAAAGTTAGACCAGTTTCGCACAACATAGTTTCCCTAGTTGCATTTGTTGCATGCAGATGAGGTATATAATATTGGGCGAGTTGCAATTCAGTACTGGTGGCCGGATTGTTATTCGTGTTCCTGGTGGAGTAAATGAGCTGTCAGTATTGATGATGTTGCATAATTGACATCTAGAGCTGTTACA